GTTTGGGTCTGTATTAACTTCGCAAAGCTCAAGTTTTTGTGGGGTTGGAGGGTTAAAGCGGGTTCTGTAAAGTATTTTAAGAACAACATTATAAAAATTTGTAGTTACTGCATATTAATCAGGCTATTTAAGTTCATTGTTAATGGAAATTCATTTTAAGAAAGAAATGTTTATAAATATATGCACTTTAGTAGTACGTCAAAAATAGCTTTTCTTCATCGCAAATGCGCTGCAAATCGTTACGGTGCGGTTATAGCAAGCTGGTTGAAATTTTTTGAATAACGCTTAAGTAGGACATCTGAGTATGCAATGACGCCGTCAAAACTGCCGGTTGAAGAAAGAAGCGAAACGTCAAGACCTGACATTGAAACATCTCTGGTATAGTTGATCATTGTTGTTGAAGATAAGCTAGCTGTTTATTGCTGGTTTATTCCCCAATAGAAATAGCTTTGGTAGGTCTAAAAAACGTTAATCATTAATCAGAAGTCAGTGATTTCGAGTCATCTTTCACCAGATTTTGAAGCTCTAAATTCCCGGTCATTAATATTCTTTTAGAAATTGAAAAAAACGTTTAAAAAATTTGTCATTTTTGATCATAACAGTACATGATCAGTATAAACTTGTTTTTTCTCATTACCGTTGTGGATCTTCCCCTGAGTTTAGAAATTTTGATATGCGTTGATTCTAACAAAGTTCAAACTTAAATTTTTAGCCCCAACAAGTTTTTTGTTTACTTCTGAGATTCATCTAGAACGTTTGTTTCTGCCACTCAAGCAAAGGTAGCCTTTGCACTTTTTTCATCACTGCCAGTCTGGTCGTTTTCTGCAAGAAGTGGTTTATTATGTTTAGAGTAGGTTTTACTGTTTTTTTGTGTTGTCTAAAATAAATTTACCTTCTCAGTCTTCTTTTCTAAAAACAGTACTATCTTTTTCAAAATTTAAAAGTTAGTAGAATTCTCTAAAGAAAATAATTCTAAGGCTTTATTACTTCCCACAACATTACGCTTGAGAGATTCTGAGTTTGCCCAGTCACAACTGCTAATATCAGTGTTAGAATGACTTTGGTTTCTAAAATCAGAACCTTGTGTCGTTTCGTTGTCTGCGCTACTTTCTTCCGTACTGCCCTTAGTTGAAGTTGATGGTTTGGGGGGAGGGTAGGCAGCGATGAGAAATGCGAAGGGCTGACAAAATTGGGACGGACATGGCGGTCCTGAATAAAACGAAGGGGCACCCCAAAATCCAAATGAAGGAGGAAATGGGTTGAACATGCCGTAATTAAAACCAGGAATAAGCGGGTAAATTTTTCCGCTGAAATTTTTCAGTTTTACTATTATTTTTCTTCAATTACTCAAAGAAGAAGCTTTTTAAAGTGAAATTTCGTTTGGATTTTATCCGTAATTAAAGTTATTTTGATTTCAAATTTGACTTTTCAAAGCTGCGTTGGTTACTTAGTTTAACATTAAAGTGATGATAGGTCAAGTCAGTTAAGATATATAACACTCTACTACATTGCTTACTGAAGGTGTTCAAATAGAAATTAGTTTTGACAAAACCTTAAATAAAATATATACATACCGAAAATGAATTACAGATTCTGTTTGAGGAGCCAAAATGAGGAGTAACTGGAGCCCAAAGAGAACTGAGAGGAACATATTTGTTGCTGTAATTTTTGCAGCGACAACTGAAGTACTGCTCTTTGCGTGTAGTTTTATAGCGTTTTCTCGCACATAGAAGAAGTTTAGCATAATTTTTATAGTTTTTTTTTTTTTTTTTGAAGTAGGAGAAGGAGAGACGTGGGAGCAAGATACTCTTAAACGTTAGACAAAATGACCTATGACTATTTGTTCGTGCATTGATAATGTTCGTAAAACAGAAGAAAATTTTTTCGCCATACTGATTGCATTGTTTCAGTGAAACTTACCGTAAAATGCTTCGTCATTCTACTGTTGAATCATTCTAGGACGGCTCATAAAATATGACATTAGTTCCAGAAGAATTTTTTTCGCGGCTTCACATCACGAAAAATTGTGAAGTTACATTTATTTTGAATTTTCTTAACAGATACTTAGTGATCTTCTTGTCTTTGTTTTAAACGGAAGTTCGGTCAACCAACCGGTTTTTATCAGATGAATCATTCCAATTTTTCTTTAAATTTATCAGATTGTCTGCCAAATACAGCCACTAAGTTTTCCTGTAACTTTTTCTTCAACCTTTAAAAGCACACTTTTTAATCTTTATATTTTTTATTCACGGGATTCATTTGTCAAAACGACTATGATATTGAGTGTCAAATTAAATTCTTATTTCAGAAACGTCAAAAATTTTAATTTTAAAACATCTAAATATGACTGTAAGTGTAAATAAAAGATTTTTGCTAAGCAGTTTCAAACTTTTTCAGAGAAGATTTCTTTAATTAAATGCTAATTTCTGGAAGTTTGTATGCAAATCAATTTTTGTTTAAAAAAGATCCAAATAATAATCTTTAACAAATTCAAAAGTTTTTGAGAAGGAGCTACTTTGCCTTTAGCTAAAGTTAAGCTAACCTGATAAATTTTTTTCAAATTAAGATTTTTTTTCAGAAGAATAAAGGTTTTCTAATTTTCATGTTGATTCCATCAATGCCTTCGTAAAAAGTTCAAAGATTTGCACAGATAATTTGAAGCTTTATACTTTACTTGAAATTAAGTTTACAACAAAGGTAATTTGCTATAGCAATAATTGTTTGTCTAAATAACAAAAGTGAATTAACAACGACCTGAACTAGAAAAGATCTTACAAACTGAAGCAAACGCTAGGCACTAAGTTGTCCGCAGAGATGTACAAAATAATCTAAGAAGCATTTTGAAGAAAATCTGCTTATAAAACTTTACTAACTTAGAAAGGGCTTTTATTTTCACTTCAGCTTGATTCCAGCGCAATTTTAATTCATTCTATCACACGTGCTGTCAGTACATGAGACGGATAAAGTTCAGGACAGAAATAAATCTGAAAAATACATTGCTTGTAACAGAATTTCACTGTGCTCTAATCCATTAATTTTTCCATGGCCTGCACTTCTTTTAACCAATTTTTCACCTCCTCTTACTACGACTTCAGGCCCTTTTTAGTCACCCGTTATGACGCGTATGAGATAAAAACTTCTCCAGTGAACAAATTCGTGGTCCTTCATTATAATTGCTGCATTTTTTTTT